AAAAAAAAAATTAAAAAAAAAAAAAGATCTCTGCAGAAAAAAAAAGATGTCTGCAGAATAGCTAGCTGTCTGGATCAAACTTTTTTGGCTACACTTGGGAGGCTGAGGCAGGAGGCCTGCTTGAGCCCAAGCAGTTGAAGTCTTCAAGTGGAATAAATGTTCCCCGGTTCTGCTATGGTTAGTAGCAAGTTTAAGACCACCCTCACTGTTCTGTCCTCCCCACAGCGTCTCATTTCAAATTCTCCCCCGCCTACAAAAGATGTCAGATAAATCTTAGGCTGCTTTCTATGTGTTTCCTCAAAACACATACATCAACCAACAACTGAAAAACACACTCTTCACCTTTTCTTTTGGGGAATGAGACAATTAGACATAAGACAGCAGATGGTGTCTTAGGTACACAAAGTACCTCTGCAGCCTATGGGGACTTTCCTGGCTCCACTATTCAGCCTCGGAGTCACTGGCTAAAGGGACGGGTGGTTATCCTACCTAACGTCCCCTGCCTTCCCTGGTCCCAAACACTTGCCATGAGAAAGAAGGACTTTTCTGTGAAAAAAAACTACTGAGTGAACTCTGACATTCAGATCCTTCGAAGCAACTTAAGTTTTACCAAAAAAAAAAAAAAAAGTACATAAATATTGTAGTTTCTGGGCCGTCGGCCCTCTTTATAACCATTACTTAACCAAGAACTGAGACAGCAATAAATAACTCTGGACAACACAGAAAAAGCCCTGCGGCCAGACACCACCTCTGAGGTCCATAAAACGATTCCTGACTCCCGTAATTTTAATTGAGCCAGAAGTCTTCTCTAAACTTGAGTCAGAATATTTCGTTTAAGCAAAATCTTGCTTTAAAAATACTCTGTATGTTGTCTAATTAGCCATGAAATCATGACTTTGACCAAATTCTTTTAAGACAGGTCTTCTCACGGGTTCCCCCGGTTCTCCACAATTTAGACAGAAGTAATGTAAATTTCTTCTGCGAGCCCTACAGACCAGGGATAAGACAAACGAGAGATTTCTGGCTTCTCCAGACTTAAAGAACGGAGACGGGCATTGTTTACAGACTCGGCAAGGCAGAACAAAACTCTGGCTCGAAACAAGGAAACAAACCAACAAAGGCCCCGCAACAGGAAAACCTGCGACCTCCCCCCCCCCCCCCCCGCCTCCCCGAAGCAGAGAACGCCAGATCCCGGTTCCTGCCCCGCGCGCGACCAGGGCCTGCCTGGGCCACTGCGGGACCCCACGACCTGGGCAGGCAGGGTCCCCGGGAGCCCCGGGAGGCGCGGGCGGGGGCGCCGTTTCCCCGCACCGGGGGTCGCGGGAGGATGAGGCGTCTGCGCGCCCCGCGGGGCAGGGAGCTCCCGCCCAGCGCAGGTCAGGCCCCTCCGCCACCTCTATCCAGCCAGGCGACCCCGAACACTGCGACCCCCGCGACCCCGCGACCCCGGGTCTGGTTTCACTCACAGAGCCCGAGCGCTGTCGCCAGCACTGGCCACAGCCAATGCCTGCTGTCGGAGGGTGCAACCACCGTCTTGGCTCTGGCGGGCGCGCCCATCATCCCGCTACGCTAGGTCTCTGCGTGGTGGGGCCCCGCACTCCACCGAGCTTTTCGCGGCCCCACCGCCTCGCAGCGGCCCCGCCCCGCCCCAGCACCCGCTTATTGGCCCCCTGGCGCCTTCTGCAGGGCTCTATTGGGCGAGCCGGCTGTCCATCAGCTCCTCCCATGGGCAGGGCCAGCGCTCTGGCTGGGGGCAACCGCAGAGTCCACGCCTACCTGCGTGGCTAGCGGTTTAGCAGCCCTTGCGTTGGTCTCCCTGCTCCCGCCTCAGGCCAAAAAAAAAAAAAAAAAAAGGGATTTACTTGGCTAAAAAATAACAGTGAAAAGTGGGTGGGCAGACTTCTGATTCAGTAGTCCGGCTGCAACCTGCATCCCCTTCCCAGTTCCCGAGGTCTGTCCTTTTACCTGGGCTCCATATGTTGCAACTTGAAACATCTGCCAATTTTAAAAATGTTTTATATTAGTTGTATAGTATAATTTTGCAACATATAATAATTGCATTCATCTTGGGGAACTGGTACATAGATACTGCATTTGATTATTTTTACTTCCCTTTGAGAAATCTAGTTACTTTTTAAGAAAGTATGAATATGTATGTATATAGATGAGATACCTAACAATTACATTCATCTTAAGGAATATTTTCTTTTATAATTTTAATTTTTATAAGCACATATTTACAGTACATAATGATTATATTCTGTGGAGAGTTGGTACCTGTACTGAACACATCTTAATTCCCTTTCCCTTTCTCTTTCGTTGTAGGAAATTGGTACATATACAATCCATTTTAATAATTTTTTCTCCCCCTTAAGAAATCTGCCAATTGTTTTTATTAGCAGTATAGATTTATGATACAGGTATTTACATTCATCTTATGGGACGTAGACATACAGCATTTGATCACTTTTACTTCCTTCTGAGAAATGTACTAGGGTAAAAAGAAGTCTCCATCTTGCCTTAACTTTTTAAGTGGAGTCCCTTCCTCTTTATCTTTATTGTCCTTTGTTTGTGGTTTGGTTTTCTTAGGATAGGGTCTCACTGTGATGTTTGGTTCAGGCTGACTTTGAACTCACTTTATAGTCCCGACTGGCTAGACAGAGCTCTCATGGATCTTTCTGCCTCAGCCTCCAAAGCTTGAGGACTACAGATGACTGAGAGCCCTTTCTTTTTTGGCAGACTTCCAGGACAGGGAAGGTATCTTAGTAGTTACTCTTCTCTCATTGCTGTGACAAATACCTGACACATAAAATGAAGTAAGGATAGGTTTATTTATCTCATAGTTACTGGAGGTTTCAGTCCATTCTCAGCTGTCTCCAAGGCAGAGTGTCACATGGCAGAGAGCAACCTTTCCTGGCAGCAGCAGTGAGCAGAAAGCAAAGGGAGTGGCAGCAGTTCAGGCAGCTGGCTTCTCTCCCCACCTTACGTTGTAATGCAAGTTGCCTGCCCCAGGGCAGGTGCAGCATCCACACCCACAATAATCAATCACAAACTCCACAAGCCACCTCATGACTGCATGAGGCTTTTGGGGGACAACTAGACACAAACATTCCGCCCCCGGACTCCCAAAGACTCATGCACATCCTTTCATGCAAAAGGGATTTTAGTCCATCTCTGAGTTGCCAAACTCCTAATAGTTTCAGCATTGCTGAAAAGTCCAAGTCCCAAGTGCCTTGCAAGATCAAAATCAAACTCCTGGCTGTAAGCCCCTGTACAAATGAAAAGTTAAACACTTCCAACATTCAGTGGAAGATAAACATCATTTGAAAATTTATAAACAACAGAGGAATGCAAAGCATTGGAACCAACATAAGCCCAAAATCCAGCAGGGCAAACATTAAGTCCTATAGCTCCATGTGGAACATCCAAAGTAATATGTGGATGTAACTTTTCATTTGTACAGGGGATCACAGCTAGGATTTTGATTTTGATTTTGGAAGACACTTGGGACTTGGACTTTTCAGCAATGCTGAAACTGTTAGGAGTTTGACAACTCAGAGATGGACTAAAATTCCTTGCTCCAAGTGGAACATTCAAAGCAAATTGTGAGCTCCATGTGGCGCTGCTCCTATGGCACTCTTAGTGGTAGCTCCCATGGCTTCTCTCTTAGGCCAGCTTTGCTCCCTCTTTGTAATTTCCCTTAGATGATCCATGTTCCTGATTTTTCCAAACTTCTGGGGCTTCCACTGAATAGGCTTCTCACTCACAGCCTCACACACTGCCCTCTCAGGGACACACTGCCTGGCCTCCCAGGCCTTGTGAAATCTAGGTGGAAGCCTTCTTAACCTCAGAACTCCTACATTCTATAAGCACCTAAAACCAATACCACATGAATGATGCCAAGGTCTGCTGGCAGCTGGAGTAGTAGCCAGGCTTCCTTCTCTCCTAGCTGTAGGAGTCAAGTGCCTGGACCACTGAGCACTCTGATCCTGATTCCAAGGATTAAATTCTCTATGCCTGCACCATTCTGGAACCTGGTGTGGATTCTGCCTCCCTTCTGGAACTTTTTCCCCAAGTCAAAGTCCCTGACCTTTGCAATTCTGAGGCTGCAGAGGGTGGAGACCTGCTGTCTCTTGTGATACCCTCAGCCATTGTGTTAGTTGATACATTGTGTCAACTTGGCTGAATCAGCTCGGATAGCATGGGGGCCTAGCCCTGCAGGTGGGCAGGGCCCAGGAACTGAGAAAGGCAGGAAGCCACCCTGCCTGGTTTCCTGCTGCACCACCCCGCTCCCGTGGAAAAGTCTCAGTCTTTGGAGGAGCTTGATCTCCACACCCGTACCACTTTGGAGGAGCTCCGGATCTTCACTGTGGAGCACCGGCTGGTCTTCGCAGTCAGTGCAGAAGGAAGAGAGAGGCTTGCTGGACAGCTGCTGCTCCTCCTCTGCTCTTCATTGTTTTCTGTCTTATGAACTGCTGTTGTTTGTCTTGGAGCCAGCGGAATATGGACTGAACCCTCCAGTAACTGTGAGCTAAATAAACCTTTCCTTCTTTCATTTTGAGTGTTGGGTATTTGTCCCAACAACGAGTAAAAAGTAACTTAAGACAGCCATCCTTTCCCCCCTCCTGTTCCTTCCCTCTTGATCCTCAGATCCTCTGAGCTCTATCTTTACGTCCACAGCTTTATTGGTGCTTCCTTTCTGGCCAAATTCACAATAGTTTAGATCATCCTGCTGGGCTCTTTGCTCTTAATTCTTGACATAAATCTGACTAAAGACCCCAACAATAGCCATGCCACTCCTCAGTATTCGACTGCTTTGAGATTTCTTTTGCCAGATTAATCAGTCTGACATGCTTAATCTCAGTTTCAGGCAAAGTCTCTGGACATGAGCAAAATGCAGAGAAACTTTCTGCCAAGCCATAACACAAATCCAACAGCCTTATTCCCCTCAGAAGCCTCCCCAGCCAGTTCTTCACAGGCAGGATTTCTATCAGCCTTCTGAGCTCTGACCAGAACCTCCCTTCCAGGACAGCTAAAGCTGTTACAGCACTTCTCTTGTAGGCGACATCTCCAACCTATCCTATCTCCTCCCATAAGACATTCCCAGAAGCTTGTAATCCACATGGTCAGGTTTAGCCATAACAATAATCCCACTTCTCTGGTACCAAATTGTCTCAGTTACTCTTCTCTCATTGATGGGACAAAATACCCAACACCAAAAATGAAGGAAAGAAAGGTTTATTTAGCTCATAGTCAGTGGAAGTTTCAGTCCACACTCAGCTGGCTCCAAGGCAGAGGGGCACATGGCACAGAACAACCTTTCAGGGCAGTAGCAAAGAGCAGAGAGCAAAGGGAGTGGCAGCAGCTCAGGAAGCTAGCTAGCCTCTCTTCCCTCACTACATTGTAATGCAGATTACTTGGCCCTGAGCAGGTGCAGCATCCACACCCACAATAATCAATCACAAACTCCAAAAGCTGCCCAGCGATGGCATGAGGCTTTGGGAGACAAGTAGCCACAGACCATTACAGAGGGGAAGTGGAGCTCATTCTGCTGCCCAGATTGAAAAGAAATGTGCTTTCCATTGGGTTGCCATTGCACGCCAGGGTCTCTCTATAAGTATCAATAAAACCATGTGGGACTTTCCTGTCCAAGATTCTGAACTGCCTTTGCTGACCCTGCTCAACTTGTTTATTTTGGCCTCCTTCTACTTACTGGTTGCCCAACAAACTGTACTGCACCTTGTGGAAAGATTAGTGATACAGGGAGAAAAAGTGGTCTCGGGTAGGTGACATCCAGATGATACAGGGAACCTCCAAATGACATAGGGGAAAAATGATCTCCCGACCTGACCTGGATAAGTTTGTGTTCTCTAAAACCGAAGAATGAATTTTAGGAACAAACGGAGGTTATGAGCAGAATATATTTATTGAGGGAAAGAAAGCTCCTGTCTGAGAGAGGGACAGGAGGGGGGACTGAGAGGGTTGTTCCCCAGGAAGCTCTCTCTTCCAGGGACTTTTATAGTGCAAAACCATGCAGGGATAAGGTGGAGAGAATGGGAACTTGCTTAGGTAGATGTGGGGTGGGACAAAACTGTGGTCAACCAATGGGATTACAAGCACCATTGCTCAGGTAAAATTGATTAGGTCCAGTACTGAATAGGGAAGGGAGTCCCGAAGCAAGAGGGCATGAATGTAGAACAGGACCTTATCTGGTAGCCATCCGTAGTAGTTGCCTTAATGATTCTTCCTGGGTTTCTCAAGGTGATGATTGATCCCGGATGCTAATCTTTAGGGAGGTCAACATCTGTTTGATCTTTGGTCTTTAGGTGTGGCTCACAGCAGGAACATCCTTCCCTCCCACAGTTGTAAGGTGTCTCCTCTTCTGGTTTATTTCCTTTGAGGGCCTGGCCCTGTCTGACTGCCTATCATACTTCTATCTAATTTGGCTGCCTGCAACATTAGGAGGCAAGCAGCCTACAAAAAGGAAAAGTGGAGGGGTGGTGAGATGAAGAAAAAGAAGCATTCATTAGGTAGGAGGCAGACAGAATAAAGGGGA